GGGGGTGTATGTATAGTGTATGTTTACTCTGGGGTTCAAAGGCCAGTGTCAAGAAATTCAAAAACTTTAAACAGATATAGTAGAGAGGAAATTTTTGGACATTGAGCAACGGAATGGGTTCAGGAAACATCACAGGCAATTTGAATGTGCTTACAATATTGATTTCAAGAGAGTCTTTAGATTTTTATCATTAGAAACAAATTTTTGACTGGTAGCCTCACAAGGGGGAATATAGAGCAGTACCTGGGTTGAAGAGGACGATGGCTCGAAGGCACCCTAGCTCTGTTTTATCCATCTGCATGTCTCTCATCTTTGACACCAATTCCGTCAGCACCCTGAATATAGGAGAAAACGCATCGGCCATACAGTGAAAACAGGTCAAATAATGCCAGTTATGAAGCTGCGATATTCAGAGTTTCAGGATGTCATGATCAGTATATGAGAACATGGGGTCCCTTTTCTCGCCTTAAATGAGAATGCATCATAAAATGGGATATTCTGTCAACTCTGTAAGGTCCGTAAGGTCTAAGCATATTTTTATTTAACCCAGAAATTCTTTTGTTTTTAATTTTTTTATCTATGTTGTTTTTACGTCATTTTATATTGTACAATTTGTTTATTATTACAATTATTTATTAATTTATTTTGTGAGGTAAGCTATGGGAAGGGTTGAAACTAAAACACGTAATTTGTAAAAACCTTGATGTTCATGTTCAAATGTTGCTTAAAATTGCTTCAATAGATCTTTATAAATGAAGGACACTGCTAACACGATCAGCTGTTGGGAAATGCAGATATTACTACATTACTGCTTTGACTGGCAGTGACTGTCAAATATCTATAATGCCTCAATAAAATGTCTAGATTAGCATCACTTCCTCTGATCCAGAGGGTGACGTCTCCTCTGACAGTCTTGGCCTTTGTGTGACCGGGTGACCGCACACACACTGGTGCGAGGCATCCTCATTCCCACTCTTAACACACTCTAATTGAATTGGCCTCCTGGAACAATAAGTGGAGGGGTGGGGAACTTGAGCCCAGTGTTTAAGTCTACCATCCACTTCATTTGTGCCACGGCTGTCACTTGCAGGGGAACTGATAAAGAAACATTATCAGGGCTGCGCATCTTAATGCGAGCGGCATTAACACAGATCTATTCTTCCAGAGTCGCCGGGTGTATTCTAATAGCTAAAGCAGCCTCTGGGAGCTGAGAGCGGAGTGGAGTCTTGAAGCACAGCGCTGCAGACTTAACAGAGTCAGGTGACACGGCTGCTGGGGATGTTAATGTCCAGTTACTGTTAATACAGCTTTTTTTTGTTACAGTCATGACTTTCTTAAGCACACTTTATTTGAAGGATATTGTTACTGAAAAACAAGACCGAAATACTGATTAAGACGTTTTCAGTAAATAAGCTGAGTATAACATTTTAAGCATAAATATATTAGCTTTATAGTTTTAAAAATTGAAAAATGGATCACAATCTTATACTAAATAGAAAAAAAATGTAAAAATTAAAAAAATAAAAAGTATTATACAAAAGGTAAAATGTGTACAAATATACACATATAATTAATGGTTAATTACAATTATATATTTTTTTATCATTGCTATTCTTATATGATTTATTTCTATCTAAACTTTCTTTAGTGGGGTCGCAGTGTTGGTGTGTGTTTCACAACTAAACTTTGTACCACTACGCTCTCTTCAAACCTTAATTAGGTTGAGATCTGGACAAAAAAAAAAGCTTTAGCTGGTAGCTTTATTGTACAGCATTGTTCAGGTTTTTGTGGGGACAGATACAGAGCAGAGCCCTTGGTGTCACTGGGTGTATCCGCCATATTTTTTATTTCATAAATGACACACAAATGGATTTCCTTTAACATTTTCTTTCTGAGCACTCGACCATTTCTGCATGACCTCTGTTGCCAGCGCGGCTGCATATTTAATGAATATCAATGTAAATCAATAGAAAGCTCGCTCCTCCCTGCCCTTCTGTCTCAGCGTTCCGCTGGCAGAAATGTCAAGGTTCCTCTTCTGCCCTTGTCATGAAAATGACTAGTGTGATCATCTTTTTGAGTTGTCGTGTTTGAATATGTTCCATAAAGCCAAAGCTTCGTATATTACCAAAAGCAAAATATATAATTTTTCATTTAGTTTCATATATATATATATATATATATATATATATATAAAATGTACAATTTGTATTTTTTTTTTTTTATTCTTAACCCATCTTTTTGATAGGTTTTGGTTTTGATAGGTTAGGTAAATTGAAACAATGGTGATCCACAAATTGTATATTTATATTATAAGTATCATTCCAACCTGTCAAATATGGCTCCTACTCCGGCGCTGTGGGCGCTGTTCCGGTGCACATGCAATCCTGTGGCCAACAGTATCCCATCTTTCACTGATATTGAACGGTGTGAAAATGACGCAATGAGGAGCTCATTCCATCCTGAGAGAGACAGATGAAATCATGATAAAACATTCCACACAGTAAGAGTGAATTAAGCAAGTATCTGAGTGACAGAGCTCCTTTAAATAGTCTGCCTAGCAACTACCCCAACTCCCCTCATTTCCCCAGAGTTGAGCTTGGGAAAAGCTGAGATGCTTTCATCTGTGAGACAGCAGAACTAAAGGGGTTATTTTTAGAAAACCTGAGAGCTCAGAGAGAGATGGAGAGAAGACCCTCTCAACATGCTCTTCAGCTTGTTCTGAGAAGATAAGCATGACTCGCTAATACAGTGGGCCATAAAGGAAATTAAAAGCAAAGCAGTTTATTTGTAGAATGGTGGTCTACAGAGCATCTATTTGTCTTACTCATACTGTCAACTTCTTAGAAACTGACTCATAAATCTGATTATTCTGAAACCATACGCCACAAAAACCACGTCACCTTTCCCCACCATTTTCAAAACCATATTAACCCAACCAGAAAGCATTTTTGGCGATCAAAGGTATATTTAGAACCTAGAGACTAGTCTCTGTAGGCAGCACACTAGCTTTAAGATAGAACAGTAGAAACTGTATAATTTATTAACAAATAAACTGAAAGGTCCTAATGCCCATACATTTTCCAAATATAAGCATTAAAAAAATTATAAGTTGTTGAAACCATTTTTTAGACTTGCTAATTGTCAATTTTGAAAATTTAAATAAAATAAAATGAAAAAGTTAATTCTGAAAAAAACAACAACCTCTAATTACATTTGCAGATGCCTCTTTTTATATTGTATTTAATGCAAAAACACAATGACATTTTCAAGAAAAATGTAGGCATTTTTGATCATAGGCACATTTCAAACCCAGCATGTCATCTATGTAGGCAGAACACTAGAATGCTGTCTAAAAAGGCAGCTCACTAGGGTTTGAAACAGCCGTATAAATTGCATAAATAAATTGAAATGCCACGATTCAGGAAAGTTTTTGCAATTTCAGTTATTTTTAGAATTTCAAATACACCTTTGAAACCTGTCTTAAGCAGCCTAGATAGGCACCAAACTAGGTTTCGAAACACCGCCTTAGAGACTAGTCTCTGTGGGCAGCACACTAGCTTTAAGCTTAACTTCAACACTTCTCTAATAGCTTAACTTCAACACTTCTCTAATTAAATATTTGGCATCATAATGAACTCGTCCTGTTTCTGTCTTTTAAGTGTGCATCTGTCCGTTTGTCCTCTTCAACTCACCTGCTCGTAGAAGAATGACCTGGTCGTCCAGCGGGAGCTCTGAAAAATGCGGGATCCTCTTGGCCCATTCCACTAGAGTGAAGAGCTGCTTGTCTGCGGCCTGACAGATGTTTGTGACTGGATCATTGGGCTGGTGGAGGAAACAAGAACACAGGTGTCATAAGCTGGTCTGTCCAAACATCAAAAAACGAATTCAATGCAAACGCTTCTAAGCTACATTAGTTTGATTTCACACACTGTCATGTTTTAAAATATGTCAGAACACAATTCAAGTACACACTGTATTCTCAGTATTGACACAAGGGGCGCTATAGCTAACATTAACCATCTTAAGACAGTTTTCTTTTTCAGGTTAACTACTTTCATGGCGAGGCATGGTTAGTTAAAGTTACTTAAACTGTTGACATGTTTAATGCTAGCTATCCAAGTAATAACCCATTCGTTTAATGGCACAGACGTTTGAGGGTAGTTTTATCACTGAGGTTTGCTACCGCTCTTCTTGGCCCCACACACGGAAACTAAACCTCTCGGAGCAGAAGTGAACAGGAAGGCAAAACAAACAGTGCTTTTTCCCCGGACTGCACAGGAAATACCTGCCAAGAGCTGGTGCTAAAAAATGACTCCCTTTCTAAATGGGCCTCACATTTGCTCATTCCCAAACATTTACAGAATACTGCTAAACATTTAAAGGACCCAGGGAAGGACATGTAATTAACTGTCAAACAACATGTTGTGGTCAAAATGCATTCATTGTTCTTGAAAATGCCTTTGTGAGGGACGTCGCATGAGAGAGTTTGTGTACGGCATGTTGCCTTTAATGCCTCCTGCAGATTTGAGTCTATTAGCACGTCTCGATGCGGAACGCTCCGGCTCTATCAAAGAGAGAGGACAAATGAGAGATATGAAAAATGGCCTAGACGATTCCAGCTTCACGTTGCATGAAGCCAAGGGAGGGATAGATACGCTGCTTTGTTTTATAAGATGAAAGAGTGAGTCAAAGGAGTACGGGTGAGAGCGAACGAGCGCAGGAGAGAGGAAAGCAGCAGGAGACGGTTTTCTGAAAGGACAGGAACAAATAGACATTGAGAGTCGTTTTTCAACTCAAGTGTCAAAAGGGAAGGCATTAGAAAATATCAACAGGACATTGCAGCGGGCAAAAGGACAAATCGTTTTTAAGAAAACAAACAGAGGGGGATAAAAATTATATTCATATTTATCAAAATTATTAGTGGGAGGGGGTGTGCATTCCTGGAAAATCCTGACCTCACTTTTGGCAGCCTCCTAGATTCACGGTTGCAGCGCAGTAAGTTTATTAATAGGTTCAACACAGTGACAATGCAATTATGAGTCAAGAGCTTCTGAAAGGGTCAATATATCAGCCAGTTAAAATCACTCAGTTCAAAAAAGACATGCGCATATATATATATATATATATATATATATATATATATATATATATATATATATATATACATAAACAAAAAATTATAAAATAAATTATTTTAAATTAAATGATGGGTATGGTGTTTCAAATAAAGACTAAATGTTTTTAAGATTTTCAAATGTTCTAGATATTAGAAAATTAGGACATTTTAACGGTTCACATTTCCACGTTTCACATTTTCACACAAAAAAGTGAAAAAAAGGAACATTGCTACTCTAAAGGTACCAATATGCACCTTTTAGGGGTAGATAATGTACAAATGTGTCCCTTTAAGGGTACTGCCCCATTAGCAAGCTGTTGTACCTACAAAGGGACAATTTTTTAATAAAATAAAGAAAATTATATAAACTAACCTTGGACAGCAAATACAAAAATGCCTTTAGAAATGTGAAGCTAGATCTGAGAAAAGCTCTAAAATCATTAGATTTGCAGATGCCTCTTTTCATATGGTGTACTGTATGTGATGTAATGCTATTCAGACATTTGTTTAACTTAAGTGTCTGAATACTTGGTGAAACCACCTTGTGGCCATTATTAGAGGCAAGAAACATGTCCACAGTTGCACTTTGGGAAATTACTATTGACATATAACCAGTGGGCTCTTCCGTGATTTTGCATCAGAACGCAGGAACACCCAGGAGAATCTTGTGAAAGTGTTGAATGTGTCCCCTCTATGGTATATTTAAGCAAAATTCGCACTGACAACAGCAGCAGATCAAAGGAAGAAGTTGGAGATGGCAAACTGTTAGCCAGACGCAAAGCCATCTCTCAGAAAACAGACGCAGCTTATGAATATTTCTGTGGCTGATCGGGGACATGCAGACGATCCTCCTCAGTGCAACAGTTTCTGCCATGTTCTTTAACAAATACATAAACAAACAGATAGTTAAATCACAAAGCAACAATATAAAGGAAAGTGAATCGGTGAAGAGACTCTGACGCTCCTCAAAAGAATTCAACTCCCAGAGTTCTCGTTAAACACCGTAATGCTCATGAATGATGAATAGCTATCTTGGCTCTGTTTACACTGACCTTGTTTCTTCTACAAAACAAACAAAAATGACTCAAAAATTGAGGCCGCTAAATAACTGACTTAATTATTGTAAAGTAAAAACAAGACAAAAAGAGCCACAAATTTAAATATAGCACAATAAACATAAATTTAAGCATTTCTGTAATTGAAGTTATTAACAGGGGGTTCGTGGTGGTATTGCAGGGGGGAAATAATTATTATAATTTGGGAAAAAAGTATCAAATGAGTTAAACAAAAATACAATATTAAATGAACTTTAAATAAAACTAAAGTTCAGGTAAATGTTTTACTGTATCTCACACATTAATAAATACAATATTTACTACATATAATTATAAATGTACAAATACATGAATATATACAGTGGGTATAGAAAAGAAATCACCACCCTTTAAAATAATCACATTTTGTTGCTTTGCAGCCTGAAATGAAGACAGACACGGTTTTTGTTTTATCCAGCTGTATTTAGTCAGTGCAATGTATAACATCCAAGTGAAAGATATAACACCAACATGTCAGAAAAAAAAAAAACAGAATCATTGATTTGGAAAAATGATCTCCCCTTTTGTGTCAGTATTTTGTTGAACCACCTTTTGCTTTAATTACAGCCTTTAGTCGGTTAGGATATGTCTGTCTTTACTAACTTTGCACATCTAGATTGAAATATTTGCCCACTCTTCTTTGCAGAATTGCTCAAGGTCAGTTAAATTTGATGGTGAGCGTTTGTGGACTGCAGTCTTCAAGTCATTCCTCAACTGGGTTTAAATCTAGACTCTGACTAGGCCATGCAAGGACATTCACCTTTTTCTCCTTCAACCACTGTGTGCTCAGTTTTGCTGTGTGCTTCAGGTCATTGTCATGTTGGAAGGTAAACCTTCTTCCCATTGACAACTTTCTGGCAGAGGGCAGCAGATTTTCCTCAAGAATTTGATGGTATTTTGCCCCATCCATATTTCCTTCTATCCTGCTGCAGAGAAACACCCCATAACAGGATATTACCACCTCCATGCTTTACTGTAGGAATGCTGTTATTTGGATGGTGAGCTGCATTGGATTCCCGCCAGACATATCATTTGGTGTTGAGGCCAAATTAGTCTCACCTGCCTCAGAATCTTCAAGGTGTGTTTTGGCAAAGCTCAGTCGTGACTGCATGTGGCCTTTCTTGTGGAGTGGCTTTTTTCTTGCAACCCTCCCATACAAGATGTGGAGAATTTGTTGTCACATGAACACAATGACCACTCTTTGTCAAATTCCTGCAACTGCATCAGAGTTGCTGTAGGCCTCTTGGTCGCCTCTCTGACCAGTTTCCTTTTGGCTCTTTCATTCAGTTTGGCGCGACGTCCTGATTCAGAGAGGGTCTGTGTTGTAGCAAATACCTTCCACTTCTTAATAATAGACTTCACTATGTTTCTAGGGATTGATAAAGCCTTTGGAATTTTTTTTGTATCCATCTCCTGACTTGTGCCTGTCCACAACTTTATCCCAGAGATCTTTTGACAGTGCCTTGCCTCCCGTAGTTGATTGTTTGCTTCAGTTGCACTACC